TAGAGTTCAAAACTAGTATTTCACAAGCCATGGGGAAAAAAAAGTTTCCTTAATTTATAGAAGTGGTTCTTAAATATGTAGGCATAAAAATAAATGGAAAACTTGTTAATATAGAAATTCTTGGTGTTAGTTGTCACTAGGGGACTTGATACCAAGAGCAGTTGAACAAACTCCTGAACCACTGTTGACACTAAAGAGGACAAAAGGGAAGAAACAGATACGAGGGGGTAACAGGCACACGCATGGCAATGGGATTCATCATCAAACCGCTGCTTTGCAGTAAAGTCATTTCTTGGCTGTTTTTCCTTAGATTTAATCTTTGCCTTCTGAAATATGGATTATAAAATATGTTTAAGTTCCATTCACTTAAATGTCCATAGAGAAACAATTATTATTTTTCTCAGAATGCTTCTCAGATCTGTACCATGTCTCAAAATGCACAATACATAGGCTAAACTATAGAAACTTTTTATCCAATAAAGCTCTTTGAAAGAAAATGTTACTATGTGTTCGGTATTGCAAAAGATAAGCTCTAGTTATAAAGCAGCACAGTACTGAAAGAACTAAAATGTTCTATTTAGATTATTTCAAACAGAGGATATGAATTATAGAAAGTAAGACTTCAAATGGTTAAGAAGAAAAGAATTTTGCCTTTTAGAAGTTTATAAAATGTCAGTATTCTAAACTTTATACAGTGAACTTCTTAGGATAGTCTGATATAGTACACACTATCTGTCACTTCTCTATCAATTTGGCAAGACTACATAGAGACAAATGTTAAAGAGACTCAAAATGGAGACTTCTGGAAAAATGACCAAAGCCAGAAATAAAGCTGCACTAATTAGAAAACAAATAATTAAATGGCCAAATTCGAATGTTGTGTGATGCTGAAAAGAGAGATTTCTAAGGCAAACCATCTGTTTTACACTTTCTGATCTGCTGTACATCTACTCAGTACAGTTTTGCAGTGATCTGGCTGCTAATTAATTTGCACAATTACTTGAGGCCAGAAATATTTATTGTATAGAATCACTTGAGAGATCACCAAATAGAAGAAGGCAGATATAGAAGAGGGCAGATATAATCCATTTTTCAGTGAAGACTATCTTTTTTTAGCCCTTGAAGGAAAAATATTATTTAAAGAAATGATTAGAAATTACCAAAGGAAAATTAAAGCGTTTCAATGAAGAAAGATTTCACCACCAATTTATGGTGTCTAAACTTATCTGGGCCTTCAGGGTCAGCACCAGTCTATTGGTCAGTCTAATGGAAACTTCTTGTTTCATCTTGATTCTCACAGCATTTACCTGGGAGCTGCTCTGCTCTTTTTTACACATTTTTCTCACTTAACTTCCCTGGCACCACGGTCCTAAATTTTCCTCTTTCCTCATCAGATATTCCTTCCTCCACTGCTAGTTCCTCCTCTTTTAAATGTTGTATTGTCTAAAAGAAGGGTACTGGGGTCTCTTTTCCTTTCCATCTGTATTTTCTTCCTAATTTACCTCTTTAGTACAATGGCTTTCTATGGCATGTGTGTATTCATGACTCCCAAATTTCTGTCTCCTGCCCAGACCTCTTCAGTTCCAGACTCATATATTTATTTTTAATTTTAAATGACATTTTATTTTTTGTTTTTCTTTTTTAATCTTTTTGTTTTCTTACATCATTGTTTATTTTTCTACAATATTTGATTTCTCCCTTCAGATGTAGTCCCCATAAATCTCCCACCACCACATCCCCTGTGAACTGTCACCATGGTCCCTTGTGCTCTTTCCTCCCCTTTTTCCACCCCTCTCCTGATGCCTCCCCTGCTGTATGCCTCAGTTATATTGTTTGCCTGCAAGTTTTCAGACTTATATATTCAATAATCTATTAGATATCTCTACCCTGATGCCACATAGGCTATCTCTCTGTCTAATCTTTCTTCCCCTTAGGCGAATTTTAAAAAATGCTTGAGGCCACAGCTGACAGGAGGGAAAGTGTAATGCAGAGGAAGTCTGGAGTCGAAAGAAAAAGGGTCTTAACCCTTCTTTTTGAAAATTTGATAAATTTTCAATGGCCATGTGTACTCATTGCTGAGACTTTCCCAGCAGGAAATGGGGCTTACAGGAGTGACAGGCATAAAGTCTAGCATCCTGGTAAATCTATTTATGTGCCACAGTGCTTAGCACATGCTATGTTCGCACCAAAGAATTGGCACATGAGTTGGAAGAATCTCAGACTCCTTGTCTTTTTCCCATCACCATCCCTGACATCCTCAGAAAATTTTCTCCCTACCCCCTCTCTTAACTTTAGAACCCTCACTTTATTAGTTTCTGTATTTTGCTCATCAAATTGTCTGCTATGTAAATGTCTAGAATTTGTCTTTGTCATTCTGACTTCACTACAAATAATTCCCTAGAACACCCTCAATTTTGCTGTAAATGGCAGCATTTCATCTTTCTTGATAGCCCATTGTGTGGTTATACCACATCACCTCTCTCAGTGGGTATTTAGGATGCTTCCATGTTCTAGCTACTGTAAATAGTGCTGCAATAACATTGTAGAGCAAATACTTGTGTGTTGATGATTTCCTATACTTGGGGTAGACACCCAAGAGTGAGATTACTGGGTCATATGGTATTTCCATTTTTAGTTTTAAGATAAATTCAGATCACTTTCCATCATCGTTGTATCACTTTACATTCCAACTAGCAGTGTAACAGGGTTCCTCTTTTTCCACATCCTCTCCGGCACTAACTGTTGGAGGCCTTTTTAATACATGGCATTCTCACTGATTGAGATAATTTTTTTTTTTTGGTTTTAACCTACAGCTCTGTTGCCATGATGAATGTTTTTCCATCTGACCTTCTGCATATCTTCTCTGATCAACTGTCTGTTCATATCTGCTACCCATTTATTAATTGCATTCTTGTATTTTTATTGCTCAATTATATATTTTGTTCTATATTTTGGATATTCACTCATTGTCAGTTATATATCATATGAATATTTTCTCCCATTCAGTAAGATGTCTGTTTAATCTTACATAGTTTTTGCTATGTTAAAGTCTTTCTTAACTTGAAGTAATCCCAACTGTTTATTTTTGTTATTATTCCCTTTGTCATTGAAGCCACATAGGCATGTTAGACTTAGCATATATAATATGAACCTTTTTTAATTCATCACCCTTCCTCCGAAAAGAAATCCAATTTTCCTTTAGTCTGCCACATCTCAGTAAATGGCACCACCATCCAACCAGTTGTTAAAGCAAAATCTTGAAGTCATCCTTGATTCCTCTTTTATACTTGTTTCTAATCAAATTTATTACCAAGTCCTATCAATTATACCATATATATATATCATATTTATTCCTCTTCCTTTCTTTGCTACCACCCTATCCAAGCCACCAACTTCTCTCAAAAATACTAATTCAGTATAAGTGTACCATGTATCTGTAGCACATAAAACAGTGTCTAGCAAGTAATAGATGTACTATAGTCCTTTTCATAGATGACAACTGCCTAGCAACAATTTTCCTATGTATCTCTAGAAATCTCCAACCTCAGTTCTCATTTTCTGAGATACCTATTCATTTCTGAATCATTCACTTATTCAGCAATTACTTATTAAAGTACTGTATTAACTGATATTATGTTCAGCTGTATATTTTACAGTGTCTTAAGGACGAGAGACAACAGAATTTTGTTTCCTGTTCATATAAAAAAAATTGGAGGTTGACAGTCAGGTGCGCTGGCACAGCAGCTCTGTGAGCTCATAGCCCTGCTTCCTTGCATCGTGTTTACTGCTCTGCCAGCCTCAATTTATGGATTCCACTTTTATGTCTAATATGGCTACTTAATCTTCAGCCACCACGTCTGTATTCCAGTCACTAGGAAAGAAGATGGGCATCAGGACTGCCACACCCCTTTCTTTCAGTGGGGACACTTCCCAGAAATTGCCCCTTTTGCACTTAGATCTCAGTGACTATCATAATAACTAGCAAAGACTGGGGGAATAACTGGCAAAAATGACTAGATAGCTACATTACCAACTAAAAGTCAGGATGATACTATCATAGAAGAAAATATTGATGAACAAATTCTTTTATAGTTCCTGTTGCGAGGAGGTAATTTTCTGAGTACAGGTTACAAAGATCTGTTAGACATTGGGACTATGTTCACAACATTTAGTCTAAAGGGGGAAAGCAAATATGTAAATGAAAATTTCTTAAGATTTCAAGACGATAATCACCAGTGTTAAGACACCTTAGATTTTCTCAGTTCTCAAAGATGTCTTGCATCAAAAGTTGAAAGAGGGGTCTCCCTGTTGGCGCAAGGGGTTGAGCACAGGACTATGAAGCAATCCGCAGCTTCTGCAGCATGAATTTGATCCCTGGCCTACCAGGGAGCAGCCCACATGGTGCAGCAGACCTCTCCTGCCTCTCCCACTGCTCCCCTCAGCAGTGTATTTCAGTCAGTCTGCCTGTTCTGTTCCCCACTCTGTCTCTGGTGAATCCTCTCTCCCACACCCACCCCCTGCACCTCTGGCCTGTGCCCCAGCTCTTGTATGCATAAATAAATAAATCTTTAAAAAAAAGAGTTGAAAGAGAAGTTGGTGGTTTCAGTGCCTTTGTATCATTAAAGTACACAGACTGCTTTGATTTTCCACAGGCTTATTAATGGATACTTCAAACCTCTATTCAATTGGACTTGATACCTTCAAAACATGGAGCAAGGCAAAGTTCAATCAAAGTTCCATAAACTTATACAGACAATTGTGGTAACAGTTGTAACAGTTTGAAAATACCCATTTTAGAAATATGTCAATGCCTAATAATTTTTTTAACTTGTCAAAATATGAAACTAATGGACTGTTTTAAAAAGACTATATATATAAATTATATATATAAATATAGATAAATATATATGTATATAAATATATATAAATTATAAGACCCAATGAAAAGAAATAAACACTGATAGCATGACCGAAAGAAAAAAAGTGATACTGTAACTTACTGTTAACCACTGGTTATCTAGTAGTTCCTTAGCTGTGATTCTATGAGCAGGGTCTACTTTCAGAAGTTGTTTCAAAACACTTTTAGCTGCAAATAAGGGAAAATACTGAAAATATTGTTTTAACTATAATACCATACACTTTCTAATTTATCTATGATTATGTCTATATGACATGAAGGAAAGACACCAATTATCAAATGAAGTCATCATTAGTATAATGGCTAATGAATAAAATTTAAGGCTTAAAGGTTTATTGTCTAGATTTCCTTGTTTATGGACTACAATAGAAAACAATCTCGAAGATCAGCAAATTTTCTCTTTTACTGCTTTTTCAACTTTTACTGCTTTTGTTGGAAGTTTTGAAGCTATAACTATTTCCACGACTAGATAGTGTTTATTTTTACAAATATATTTAATCACTAAACAGATTAAAAGAATTTCGATTTACTGGCCAACTTTCTTATATTATATATATTTGCTTTAATAAATACTGATACATTTATACTTACCACTATCACTTATGGAATCCCAGATTGGATGCTCAAAATGTAGTTCTCCCTTTCTTATTAATTCAAAAAGTTTCTCTTCTGAACTTGCCAGAAAGGGTGGTTCTCCGCACATTCTACAATAAAGGCAATCAATTTGTTTAGAATTTTTAATAGTAATCAAAATAAGAGTATTGAAAATTAAGTTTCCATAGGAATTGGAAGTAGCAGTATTTTATATTTAAGGACAGGAAGAAGTAGGTACCTCACTGGATGTAAAAATGGAAGCAAGGGGGTTTTGCAAGGTCAGTGCTAGGCCCTTGTTTACTTTATAACCTCCAGATTTGCAAAAAGCCCAAAGCTCTTCCAGGTGAGGAAACACTAAATTTACATGGGACTAAAACACAGGAAGATGTGTGAAGTGCACATTGACAGTGGCAGATAACTGAGGAAATATAAATTATTGTGAACAAGGGTAAATTAATGTCTTAAAGTACATAGTAAGGATCTGATAATCATCTAAGAGTTTTATCCATAGTGAAACAGTATACAACTGTCAGTAATAATAAGAATCCAACAATAACAGTGGACTGTCTATAGGCTCTTAGTCAAAACCAAAACTTATTAAAATGGCCACAACTCTTCAAAAATGTATACAAAATGAAGAAAGTCTCGATGAGGGAAATCAGACGGTGATGATGACTTTACCTTTCAGTCTGGAAGGATAAAGGCTGCATATATGTAATGACCCATATCAGTAAAACTATGGGCAGTGTATATAGACAAAGTATGGGTTTGTTTGCACATTTTATAAGATAGAGACTATGCATTTTTAGAAACTTTTAAAGGGAATACTTTACTGCAGGAAGTACTCACAAAGAGCATGGCAAGCTTATACTTCAATAAGTGACCCAGGGTCTCCCTGGTGGCACAAGGGGTTAAGCTGCAACCTATGAAGAAATCCGCAGCCACTGCAGCATCAGTTCGATTCCTGGCCAGGGAGCTACCCACATGGCGCAGCAGACCTCTCCTGACTCACCCGCTGCTCCCCACAGCAGTGTGTTTCAGTTGATCTGCCTGCTCTGTTCCCCACTCTGTTATGGTGAATCCTCTCACCCCCCATGACTCTGGCCTGTACCCCAGTTCCTGTATGTATAAATAAAGAAATCTTTAAAAAAAAAAAAAGTGGCCCAATCCCAAACTACAAGAAAATGCTTAAAAGTTGAGTTCAATTCTTCCCAGTAGTTTCTCAACAAATGTTAGCCATCGTCATTACTGTCAGCCCTACCATGTAAAGGCAACCCTGTAAACAACTAGATTTCCCAAATGACAACCAGACAGATCTCAACACAGTGGCAACTCTGTATGTTTATTTTTCAACTCTCAGAATTATATTTTTCTACTTTACTACTGAAAGAATAAAATAGTATAGTTCCATTACACTTCCCAAATGCTGCTCTATTATGTTCATAAGTTTGATGACTTCTAAGTCTCTTAACAGACTTTTAATGGTTTTTTAATTGTTTTTTTAAGGTCTTTAAAAATATTTCCCATGAACATTTCTGAATAAGTCTAAATTTGATAAATACTTTATGTAACATGATGATGATGATGATGATGATGATGATGATGATGACAATGAACTCTCTAGAGAAAAAAAGTTGCTTTTACCTTAGTAGTTTATCAACGAGGCTGGGCAACAAAGCTTTTCATTTACAAATAGGATTTTTGCAGGAAGGTCGATATTTATAAAATTGTTCTACAAATTCTTATTTTAATACTATTTCTCCAACTCATTCTGACCCTCTTCTCTCTGATCTTCCTTGCCTTACTATTGTTTAAAATAGTAATTTTAAAATGCAATAAAAAGAGCCAGAAAAATGGCCTAGTGGACAATTACTATCTATTATAACAAGCACAGCCCAGCAAAGCCCAGCAAAGCCCAGCTCACTGAGTCTGTTAACAACCAGCGATAAGCACATTCACCAATTCCTTAGATCTCCTGCATTGCCTGACTATAGCTTAAGGGCTAAGTTAAAAAATTCTACTTTTTCTGTCCTTTGCAATTTTACTTACACCAAATGTATCTAATGGTTGGTCAATCAGCAGCATATGAATTTTATGACAGCAATTTTCTGCACATTCAGAAAAGGGAATCCAACACATGAAAAATGTCTCCTAAAACCTCCCTATTATTTTCTGTTGTATTCATAGGGATCAAAACAGTAAAGGATAATACCAATAAAGAGTATATATGTTCATTTCACCTTGAGAAAGTATTTTATCATTGTTCAATTAAGCAGAACTGAGTGAGAGATAAATGACAAACAAGAAAATAACCCCCTTCGAGAAAATAATGTTTTGTGCCCTTGGTGAAGGAAATTATCTCCAAGGCCACTGGGTTCAGGCAGATTAATGAATAGACACAGATTAGTTATATGAGAGAGCACTGTAGAAAAAAAAAGATATGCAGCTACACTCTTAAATACAATAATTAAAAAATCTTTAAGAGAAAAAATATATAAGATATGGAATACACTATCATTTTCCTTAACACCAAATTCAAACTAAGAAGGCAGCAAACATCACATACATTGTGTAACATCAGAATACATATATTTAACTTGTGTTTTCTAAAAAGTCTTGAGAATGTAAAAGACTAATTTAAAATAGTTACATTTTTAATTAAAGGCTAAGGCTTAGAATTTTTATGATATGATTCTAATCAGCACAAAACAACGATCAAAAACTTTGTGAATACATTTACACTTTATGTAATCTAAGCAGCAATGTGTGTTGATCATCTGAGTTAAAGACAATCATATCATCCAATTTCTATTGCCTGTGTATTCTATTTCACAGAACTGTGAAAATGTAACTACTGTGATGTCAATATTTGGAAATGATCTGGAAGAGGTGAAATCTTCAATATGGCCATAAAACTAATGTTGCATCAACATAAAAATGTTCATATTCACCAAGAGTCAGATCAATGGTCACTAACTTTCAGAACACCTCTTAGACAATACTTTAATTCAATTTAACTAACATATATTGAGCATTCCTGCTATATTTGTAGTATTCCTACTATTGTATCAGCTGCCAGAGATACAAAAATGAATAACTTAAGATCTCTGTCCTTCATGGAATTTAGAGCAAAGGAAAAGGATATAATACACATGATAGAATTATTTTACCATATTATAATCTAGTTTTTTAAAGTGCTGACAACCTGACAGCAATATAAGAAAGCAGAATTTTTTAAATTGTATTATTTTTATTGAGATAATATTGGTTTAAAACACTATATTATTTAGAGTTAGAGATTCACTCCAGATGTATGTTATTACACCATACCCACAACCAAAACACTCATAATTATCCATTAAAGTCCATTAGGCCCCTCCATACCTTGCCCTCTCTACCCTCCCGCTCCAGTAGAATTAATTCTATAGTTAGATTTCTAGGGTCTGTTTTGGTTTATTCTGCTCCTTTGTTTTGTTTCTTTGTCATTTGGTATATTTGTTTGTAAGTCATTTGGTATATTTGTCTTTCTCCTTTTGACTTATTTCACTTGGCATAATCCCCTCCAGTTACATCTATATTGTCATAAATATAAGATTTCATATTTCTTATTAAGAAAGCACAGAAATTCCAACAAATTTAATACTAGAGGATTTATAAATGTGCACTTTTGGGTTAAATAGTTTTACCTTATCATTTTCTCTTTCAGTGTTACTGTTTTGTATGGATTTTTGTATGTTGACTTAAATTTTCTGTGGAGTATAGGAGATTAAATACATCATGCATATAGTAACTCTGCTGGGGTAGGGTAGGGGTTAGGGAAACAGAAGGCATTAATTATTGAGTTGGGTCCACCCAGGGAAAAGGTTAGTAGAAAAGAAAAAAACATAGTAGGTAGAAAGAACTTTATGAGCAAAGATACAGAGGCATGCAACAGTGGGTGTATTTAAGTCATAGAGTAGCCTAGAGTGGCCACCGCACAGGGTGGGTACATGGGAAGACATATCCAGCAAAATTGGAAAGGTATCCTGGAGCCAGGTCATAAAATATTTGCTATGATATACCATGTTGAGATATTCTCACATTTTTCTATCGCAAGGAAGAATTATCAGAGGTTGGTTATAAGAAAGCAGTATAATCAGAATTGAGATTTAGAAAGACAACCCTAATAGTAATATAAAGGATAAACTAGGAAAATGACAGTCAGAGACACATTGTAATATTCTAGACAAGGGATCATGAGAAGAAATTATATAAGTGAAGAAAAGTTAAGGAATAGATGAAGACACTTCAAAGGAAAAATGAACAGGACAAAGGGTTTGAGCATGAGGTAGAAGGAAGAGCAAGAGACTATTTTCAGTGGCATTAAGAAAATTAGGAACAGCAGAACACTTTCTGGATCTGACTGAATCTCTAGCTAGTTAGTGCCCATTCCTCACATATGCCCTCTTCCTAAGGATAGTTCTAGTGCCAGGCCCTGGTACCTCCCTCTAACTTGAAAAAATACCAAGGGGTTTTTGGTTTGTAGCAAACAATCTAGGTATTAAGGCAAGTTTTTCACTTTGCTAAGATAACACAATATATTGTAGCACTTACATATCAATGAAAAGTAAAAATAATAAATGGGGCCTCCCCTGGTGGCGCAGTGGTTGAGCACTGGGCTGTGAGGCTGCCTGCAGCCTCTGCAGCGCCGGTTCATTCCCTGGCTGCTGCGAAGGTCCCACAAAAAACAAAAAACAAAACAAAAACAAAAAAAACACCTTAATAAATGTACCTGACAACTAATAAGTTAGCTTTTAGAATGATTTCCCAGTTGTTTTTCAGTAGCTTTTAAAGAAGTTATTGTTCAGGTTTAACTTAAAATCTACGTAGCTCTACTTTTAAAGACTATCCATTCACTTAAAACTGTATATTTAGCAGGCTACTTACAAAATATACATTATGACACCTATGCTCCAAATGTCACACTGCTGGCTATAGTCGTGGGCATTGATAACTTCAGGGGCTGCCAAACAAGTAGAAATAAAAATATATTAATAATAGAATAAATTACTTTTAAATGCTTAAACACAAAGCATGAAAAATGTGCTGAAGTGTTATAATTTATTCCCCCACAGGGAAAAAGAGAACCAACAGCAGATGCTAAATGAATAATGTACATGCCTTAACAACTGATGTCACTGCATCCTCGTTCCTGTCATTTCGCTTCTAATGGAATGATAGCACAAAGAGTATAACTAAATGTCCCACTCTTCATTCCATTGAAATTGCTAAGAAATGATTTTATAAAGATTGTGTGGTTATACTAGAAAACGACAATATCTCAGTTCTTTTCCCAAAATAGAATTGAAAACATGCCTTAAGTGTAAGTAATTTAAAGCAAACCTAACATGTAGAAATCTGAATTCATAGAAAAACTAAGATAAAGGGTTATAAATCACTTTAGTAAAACACCAGTAACAATATCCCACCACTCCTCTGACAGAATAGGAGATATTTTCCACATTTTCTAAATGAGAAAACTAAAAATGAGTGCACACAAGAGAACTGGATCAAAAGTCAGTCACAGGACAAGGACTTGCTAGGACCCAGCGATTCCTCACCTCCCAACTCTTCACACCATATTCATAATATGGTTACTTTACACAATCTTTTTGATTTCACTTTAATGTAGCTATTTTTTTAATGAATACATTTTTAATAGTCACATTGTGATATCTCTGGAATGTGTTTCTTTTATCTGTATAGCTAGCAATATTTATCCAAAAATAAACATAAACACTTATAAATATAAATATAAAATATATGTATATATTTTAATAAAATTATACAATTTACAAAGTGTATATATATTATGTTACATATGTATAAATTAAGACTTATGAGATGGATATATAGGCATTTGATTTCCATTACCAATGAGGAAACCAAGGTTCAGATATAGAAAATGACTTGTCTAAAGTTACCAGTATAGAATACCTACAGCTTAAAAGTTGTTTCTATTTTAAAAAAACAGTTTCAATCTCTCCTACCTACACACATACACACACAAAACCTCTTTTATAACAACTAAAGGTAAAAGGAGTTTCATTTCCTTTGCCTACTGTTAAAGGAACTAAAAAGCAACAAAAAAGAATCAAAAGGTAAACAGAAGAATGAGAAAAGACTAGATAATTAACAAAATGAGTAATTAGTCTCTAAATTATTGAAACTAACTAAGTTTCCTTTAAGCAACTGCTTGTATTCTCTAACTCTTTAAATACTAAATCATTAAAATTCAAGCTGTTCTATGGCTGTGTATCTAAGACAAGGGCAAATTCTCTGATTAGATTCCAGAAAGATCTCCATCCAGGTACAGCCCACTGCAGGGGCACAGAATTCCTGGTCCTCACCCTTTAGAGTCTTCTTATTTATCAGGGGCATTTCTACTTGTACTGTCATCACAGCTCTCATAGGGAGGCAGAGGCCAGAATGACTGTGCCATGGAGCCATTTAGGAAGTCAGCAAAGCTCTGCAAACCATCTGTCTCCTTTCTTGTTCTCTCACTTGTTATCAGTGTAGACAACTAATAAGTAGGCAGAAAACTCAGGGTATTTGGATATATTTTTCCTATGTTATTACAGACCAGATGTCTTTTACCAACAAGAGGATATGAACAGAATCTGAAGTAGCTTTTTTGTAAATAAAACAAAATAATATTGAAACTTTATGCATCAAGTAGGCAAAAAAGAAACCAAAAATTTAAACAATAAACTAGGTATACAGGGCCTCCCCGGTGGCGCAGCGGTTGAGTGCTGGGCTGCGAGGCTGCCCACAGCCTCTGCAGCACCGGTTCGATCCCCGGCCGCCGCCGGGGTGAGGGTCCCGCATGGCGCGCAGACCTCTCCTGCCGCCCGCTGCACCCCTCAGCAGTGTACTTAGGTCCTTCTGCCTGTTCTGCTCCCTGCTCTGGCTCTGGTGAATTCTCTCACCCTCCTGCGCTTCTGACTGTACCCAGTGCTTGTATGAATAAATAAATAAATCTTTAAAAAAAATAAAAAAAATAAACTAGGTATACACCTTAGCAATAAGAATGAATAAACTACATACAACAATATAGGTAAGACTTTATTACACAGTACAGACAACAGACACAAAAGAATATGAACTGTATTCAATTTATATGAAGTTCTAGACAATCAAAAACTAAGCTATGGTGATAGAAATTATCAGTAGTGCCAGAGTCTGGGTAGTGATTAAGAGGGACATACAGGAACTTTTTGGAGTGGTAGAAATATACTATATCTTCATTGGGGTGGTGATCACACAAATATATGCATTTATCAACTCATCAATCTTGACACTTAATATTTGTGCATATTATTGTATGCAAATTATATGCCAATAAAGTAGATCGTTAAGGAAATCTACTAAAAGTATAATAAGAATTTGCCAAAACCCTCTCCAGGTGGTGGCTTTAACAACTTTCTCAGAAATCAGTAGGTAAATAAATCAAAATGAAATTAATGATATGGAAGTCTAACTTGCAGAAGTATCATATTTGATTTTACAAACACATACACACTGAAGCTTCTATGTTCAACAAACCAGAAAAATACATACTTTTAAAATATCCAATGCAACATTAAATCTTATAAAAGAACAACTTTCTAAAAACAAAATTTGTCAAAATGATTCAAGAAAATGTGGATAATTTGAACAATATATTATAAATTAAAAATATGATAGAAACTTTATCCCCAAAGGGTTTCAGGACATAAGAATTATAAGAAGACATTTCATCAAACCATAATGAATGGATAATTTTTATTGCTTAAATGGTTCATGAGCATATAAACAGTGAAGACATTTTATTTTTTTAAATGGGACTATTAAAATCCTAGCAATAAAAAAGACAAAGACAGTCAAAAGACAGATATCCACACTGAGCTCCTAAATAAAAATAAAAATAAAAATAGTGGCAAATTGAATAGAGCAGTATATTAAGCCAAGTGGAATTTAATTAAAAAATGCAGGGATGGTGAGCAGAAAATTAGCACATATGAATTAGTAAAAAGGTAACCCTAAAATTATAATAAAAAAGAATACCATTATGGAAATGAATTTAATTACAATTAAATTTAATTTTTTAAAGATTTATTTATGCATACAAGAACTGGGGTACAGGCCAGAGGTGTGGGGGGTGAGAGGATTCACCAGAGACAGAGTGGGGAGCAGAACAGGCAGACTGACTGAAATACACTGCTGAGGGGAACAACGGGCAAGACAGGAGAGGTCTGCCTCGCCATGTGGGAATCTCCCTGGCCGGCCAGGAATCGAACTGGCACTGCAGATACTGCAGACAGCTCCACAGTGCTGCGCCACTGGGGAGGCCCCAGGATTAAATTTAATTTTATGCAGGTTAACTCGGAGCTCTGCCCAACATTCACAACTCTGACAATGATATTGAAACTAAATGAACCACCAAATTGCATAAACCACAAGGTTAAAAACAAAAACAAAAACAAAAAAATGCAAGGATGGTTCAACATTTTAAAATTATTAGAATAATTATTTCAGTAATAAATGTTTAAGGATATATATATATATATATAGAGAGAGAGAGAGAGAGAGAGATTCAAATGGATATTCATCAGAGAAGACATATGAGTAATTAGTAAGTACATGAAAGAATGCTCAACATCATTAGTCATTAAGATAATGCAAATTAAAAACCATAAGATACTACTTCATACCCACTAAAGTGGCTGTAATTTAAAAGACAGGTAATATCAAGTGTTGGCAAAGGTATAAACTGGTAAAAAGATAACTGTTACAGCTACTTTAGAAAATCATTTGGCAGATTTTGAACAATATGTAATCCAGCAATCTTACTCCTAGGTAGCTATCCAAGAAAAATGAAGCCATATGTTCATAAAAAGATTTACAAGAGACAGTTCATAGTAGTAGTATTTATAACAGCCCCAAACTGGAATCACCATACATATCCATTGATTGATAAGTAGATAAACAAAATGTGGCAAATTCAAACAATGTACTACATTGCTTTATATTTAGCATATCCATACAATGGTATACAAAGAATTATTTCTTTATATTAATGACATGTAAAGGAACATGTAACTCAGTAATATAAAGGAACAGACTATAGTACATGCTAGGAATGTAATTATGCTCAGCAAAAGAAGTCAGACATAGAAAACTACATACTCTATGACTCCACTTATATGAAATGCCCAGAAAAAGCAAATCCAGAGAGATGAAAAGATTAGTAATTATGTGGCATTGGGGTAGGAAAGAGATAGAGTACAAATGGGCCTGAGATAACTTTTTTTTCCTAAAAGTGTATTGCAGTAATGATTGCACAATTATCTGAATGTATGAAAAATAACTGGATTGCACTATGGTACTTAAACTATACTTCAAAAAAGCTGTTAAAATCACATCAGGAAGGGACCTCCCTGGTGGCACAAGGGTTGGGACGCAGCCTATGAAGCTATCCACAGCCACTGCAGCACGAGTTGATTTCCAGACAGCCAGGGAGCAACCCACATGGTGCAGCAGACCTCTCCTGGCTCACCCAATGCACCCCTCAGTAGAGTATTTCAGTCAATCTGACTGTTCTTTTCCCCACTCTGTCTCTGGCGAATCCGCTCACCCTCCCCCCCACAAACCTCTGGCCTGTGCCCCAGCTCTTGTGTGCATAAATAATCTTTAAAAAAAAAATCACATCAGGAAAATTTAGGAAACTTGCCTTACCAAATATATTTAATCAGTACTCTCTGAAAAACTATTTGATGTCAATGAAACTGGGAAAAAAAGGGAAAGAAGCAACATACACACATGATTTTAGCATGAAAAAAACACAAACAGTAATTCTTTTTGGTTATGACTACCTAATAAATATTAACAACTTTAAGAAGAGCCCAGAGAAATAATAAAAAACTACAATCTTTGAAGATAAGAATATGATAAAAATGCTAAAACAACTGAAATCAGCTGACCTAACAAAAGAACAACTAGTTCAATCAGGGCCACTAAGTGTTGATAAAAATCAAATTAATCAGGGCCTCCCTGGTGGCGCAGCGGTTGAGCGCTGGGTTGCGAAGCTGCCCGCGGCCTCTGCGGCGCCGGTTCGATCCCCGGCTGCTCCCCGGCCACCAGAGGAGGGTCCCACATGGCGTGCAGACCTCTCCTGCCGCCCGCTGCTCCCCTCAGCAGTGTACTTCGGTCCTTCTGCCTGCTCTGCTCCCCGCTCTGGCTCTGGTGAATTCTCTCACCCTCCCGCGCTTCTGACTGTACCCAGTGCATGTATAAACAAAAACAAACAAACAAACAAACCAGCAAACAAATAAATAAAGCATGCCTCTATAAAAAAAAAAAAAAATTTAAAAAAAAAAAAATTTTAAAAAAAAAAAAAATCAAATTAATCAGGTTTTAATCCATATTAGTTGTTCCATTTTTTTTACACAAAAAAAAATCATTTGAAGCCTCTAAACTTACCCATATAGATAGGCGTCCCACATGTGGTCTGCAACATGGCTTCACTCCTACCATGCTTCTTTACGGCTAAGCCAAAATCAGTCACCTGGAAGAAATTCAAACAGAGTCAGGTGTTTCCCTGTCTCAGAGCTTCACTCATCCTGAAGGGAGGATTTTTCAGTACACTGTAAATGTATATAATTTGGGGGTTTTGAGGCTAGAGGGGTTCTACTTGTATTAACAACTTTGCTCCACCCCCCGCTTCTTTTTGTAAAAAAGGAACTTGGTAAAGAGAAGTTTGGTTTCTGAAATCTTGAGCAAATGCCCATGATGTTGGATTGTTCATTCCTTCTAAATAAATTTAGAGGTACAATATAGGAAGTTGTATTTTCAAAGAAGACATTTGTTTTATTTTTCTGATAAAAGTCACTTTAAAAAAATCTCTTTCTTGTTGATTTTGATTTTTACTTTATTATAATTAGTCTTTTTCCTGGTCCTTTATTTAGGTTTTCTAGATTCCTGCTATGAGTGAGACCATCTGGTATTTTTCTTTTTCTTTCTGGCTTATTTCACTGAGCATGATCCCTTCTAGCTCCATCCGTGTTGCTGCAAATTGCATGTATTTATCTTTTTTGATTGCTGAGTAATATTCTGTTGTGTATATGTACCACCAGAGATACACTACAGGGAAGAGAGGAGGGAGTAGGATCAAAATAAAGGGTTGGGAATTATATGGGGACTATAATCAAGATGAAAATGCATATTGTGCAAAAATGAAAAATGATGTAAAAATACATAAAATTTAAAAAATAAAAAAATAATAAAAAATCTCTTTCACTGTAAAATAAATTTTTGTCTGAGTATGTTATTAATTTTTCTAATAACTTAAGCTATGATCCAATTTAAAGCACTGATAAAGATGAAAATCATTATTCTTGTCAGCACTCATTGAAATGCTCCATTGTATAATTATTTATACATCACTACTTATAGTAAATACAATCTTTACTATTATTTCCTTTGTTTTTAGACTATCCCAATTAAAACAATTACCATACTATTAAAAACCATGTGAAATAAATTAACAGGAAAATGAAAACAGTATAACTACTAATACACTGGAGGCCTACTGCTGCAACTGCAGTCTTTCTGCTGAGTTCTAAATCTTGGTCATTAAACATTTGGTTATTAAATATTCAGCATGTGCCCTTGGTCTTGTCTCCCAAGTTGGAACAGCCTTGGGCTGAAAGCAGAAAAACAAGCACATTTATTGTCATGCAACCAAAAATAGGCTATTGGTTTATAGATACACACAGATTCCAGTGCCTTATAGAATAAGAAAATGTTTCTATCGACATTGATGTTGCTATTTAACTGAATAACCAGTTTCTCTAGGAGTTTTCAAAATTATCCTACTTAGAACATTATGATACATGTGTTTGGCCACAGAAAATCTACACAGATCTCAAATAAACACAATATTTCATGATTCAATTCAATTATTTGGAAAGCATTTATTCTTTCATTCATCAAAGATTAACTAAGCACATACTATATTTTAGGCATTACTCTATATACAACAGTGAATAATTCCTACCCTCATAGAGTTTGCAATGAAATTATTCAAGAACATTTACTTGGTTAAAAAATCATTGCTGTTAAACCTACTATATAGGGATTTAGCTTCAGTAACAGAGTAAGTTATTCACAAAAAACATTTTCTTCCTAAATTAACACATTCATATATTTTGAAAGCAGCCACTATTAAAGTGCTAAGTAATAAATAATGTATCCTATCATTTATTTAACATTAGGAAGCACTTAATTTGAATAAAATCTTCAAGAATAAACACTTGGCATATTAATTGTACTTAGGATATAAATATTAATACCCAGGAAAATTTTCAATGAGAAATAAAGACAGCATTAATTTAGTATCAAAAGCACAGCCAAGGTATGCTTTGCTCTAAATCTGTAACATATTTACATCAAATCACCAGGCATAATTTGGAAATTAATTAAAATTCAGAGCATCTGTGTGCTTGCTATTAACTAATGATTTAAAACTATGCAAACGCATATGTACTAAAAAAAATCAATAGTACCACTTAACTTGTAAAATTATTCTTGTCAGATAAAAGCTCTTTTATGAAATTTTCATTTTCTAAGTACAAGCCACATATTTTCTGGTTGCTCAAAAGCTACCAAAATATATCTACAAAGAGGATGCATTTTGCCACTTTGCTATCAAGCTATTTATAGGCAAATATTTATCACCATTCCTAATACCTTACCTTTATGTTTAAGTTCATTTCATTGTTAGCATCAATAAAGCTGCTTTTAACCAATATGTTTTCCAGTTTTAGGTCTCTATGTACTATACCTACCAAGAAAATAAAGAAAAACCAAATTAAATGAGTAAGGAAAAATAACTAGTGGGGACACAGTTAGAACAAATAAATATATTTCAAAAATCAGTGTTCACTGTTGAAAAATTTGAGGGCCAAGTGTAATTCTGCTGTTCCATTTCCTTATATGCAAATGCCTTTTCTTCCCATTTCTAACCTTAAGGAACCACTTTCTTTTCTGCCTAGTCTCTACCCATCCCCCTGTTGCCCAGTAAGCACTCTCCATAACAAGTGGCCTGGGGAGTATGGAAGAGGAACTTGTCCAGGGTAGGTGTTCCCAGATAGGAAGGAGACAACTGCAGTTATAAGCCCAGTTAGGTTTCCCATATAGCTAGATAGTCAAATGGAGGACTGTTTCTTTATTTCTATGCATCTGCTAATACCAATAAAACATTTAACACATTGCAATTTGGCTACATGTATACGAATTGTACTTATTTCAGTATGATGTTCCACAATGTCAGCACACACTTTCCCTACTCTCTATACATTACATTTAAAAAACAAAGCCCCTTTGGACACAAAATTTCCAGTTGAACATGTTAGATCTCAGGTAGGAATTTCCTATCTATGCAAATAGTAATGTATCAACTACTTCCTTTGAAAATAATTGATTCTGTTCATAGCTACAGTAATCATTTCTCTAGACTTAAAAAGTTTAATATATAATTGTTGGGAAAATGTAGCTGAATGAACCCCAAACAGGTAATTATATCTAACCATTTCTAGTTCCCTCACATTCTCAGGTTTTGTTTTTAGAATTTTTATTGTTTCTATTATCTCCTTTGATTATCTCTTCTTACATATGTACCACACAGCTCTAATTAATACATCTTTATGACATATTTTGATCCTCGGCAGGGCATGTCCCCCTGTTGCCTCCATTGTTTTCTTTGTTGTTCTCTCCTGATTCAAATAATCTTATTAAGTATCATGAAAAGTTCCATTAAGATTTTGTTTTGAGGGCCTCCCCGGTGGCGCAGCAGTTGAGCGCTGGGTTGCGAAGCTGCCCGAAGCCTCTGCGGTGCCGGTTCGATCCCCGGCTGCTCCCCGGCCACCGGAGGAGGGTCCCACATGGCGCGCAGACCTCTCCTGCCGCCTGCTGCTCCCCTCAGCAGTGTACTTTGGTCCTTCTGCCTGCTCTGCTCCCTGCTCTGGCTCTGGTGAATTCTCTCACCCTCCCGCGCTTCTGACTGTACCCAGTGCTTGTATAAATAAATAAATAAATAAATCTTTAAAAAAAAGATTTTGTTTTGAATTATACTGAATTTATAGCATAGTGTGAGAGAACTGACATTAGTATAATACTAAGCTTTTGGTTTTCTGCCCTTGCAAAAATTGTTGTCCTCTCAAGTTTTGTTTCCTCTGTGAATTTTTTTGCCTTTCCAAATTAAAAAAAAAAAAATGTTATGCTCCTTGCATTTTATATGGCTCTCCATTAGAGAAATTATTGTACTGAATTATAAATTGTTTTCTGTACTCACTTTCCCACCAGTGTCCTCTTTTGATCTTATAACTCTGGCATCAACCATAGTGCAGCAGGTTCTCATCCTAACTCTGCTAACCTAACCACATGTGGGTCTGCTAGACTCAAGCGGATGCTAGACTTAAGTGGTCTGTTCAGCCACCATTATGGTTACCTGCCGTTCTGCATTCCTATACAAAGGTCAGAACTGTCCAGTCACAGTCATATGAGCCAAACCTTACAAGGTGCCTTTCATATCAATCAAGAGCAGAAAGCTTGATCACTCTGGAAAGGGTATGCATCAAGAGATATGACCGGGAACACCCGGGACAGATGCATAAACTTACTCCTGACTCATACATCCTGAGATGTGACTGGGAACACCTGGGGGGCTGAGGACCGATGTATGACAAGGGACCCCAGAAGCTCATCAGTAGAATGCCTTGTTGATAAGATTAGGACCATGGCCAGGGTTCTGGGGTCTAGTTTCCATGACAACACCTGGTCATCAAGCTGATAACATGGTCAGCAGACTCGTGTCCCCCAAGCCTTAGATAATATTCCTGAGTTTCACCCATCCTTTTCTCCTTGTCCTCCTAATGCACATAGCTGATGCTCTATGATTGTGCTATCAATAAAAATGGCCAGGATCTTGCTCTCAGCAGCATCCTGCCTTGTGCAGCACACTCCATGATTCCCGTGTCTTTGTCACTGTGGTGTTGCCCAATGCAACAACCACGTCCCTCTCTCTACCTCTCTGGAACAAGGTTTTTTTCTCATCTGTAAAATGAAAAGCTTCTGAAGTAACAAGTAAGTGAAACTAACCTTGAAAAAAAAAGGAGGAACACAAAAGTAGCAGCAGTAACATCAAATAACAGTAAAGCAATTAGGATAATTAGGATACTTTTCAAATATGGACTTTAATGTAGTGAAACTATTTTTTCTTGATGCTACAATGGTGGATACATGGCATTATATATTCATTAAAAACTATGGAATGTGAACCACCAAGAATGAAACCTAATGTAAACTGTGCATTTTGGGTGATGATGATGTGTCAGTGTAGGTTTATCAGCTGTAACAAAGGTACCACACTCCTGGCGGATACTGATAATGAGGGAAGCCATGTATGTATGGGGGCAGGAAAACATGGGAAATCTCTGTATCATCTGTTTGCTTTTGATGTGAACCTAAAACTGCCCTAAAAGTTAAATCTAAAAAAAAAAACAATGCCTAGAATACAGAGTTTAAATATCAATGTTTTAAAAAACTTCCCTTTTATAATTGTCTACTTTTTGATAATATTTGCTGCTTTTAAAACTGTTAAATAGAAATGTTCTTAACTTTATCCTTGTCCATGTACAATGTAATTTCATATACTTGCCATGTTTTAAATTAAAACACAATCTATAACTAAAGTTATGAAGGAATATTTTTAATTTTTAAGATGAAATCTTATATTAATAAGCATTATTTCTGTGACTCTGAGTCCTGAATACAATTACCCATAAGCAAAGGTGACATATGTATTCATGGAGTTAATGAGCTAAACTGAATGATCTTCTTACCATTATGGTGAAGATATGCTATAGCTGATGCAAGACTTTGAATGATCCACCTTGTCTCATTCTCTGAGAAATGCTCTTTCCTAGCCAGAATTTCTTTGAGTTCTCCATCCTCACAAAGTTCCATCACAAGGTACATTTTCTGAAATTATTTGAAGAAAGAGCTAGTTATATAGTTGGGCAGCTTCAAAATGTTATATATTACATCATACATGGTACGATTATAATCATCAATCTATTCATTCCAAAATGTTTGTTATTTATCACCTACAAGAAACTGCTGAGAATACTGTAGGAATGGTCTTTACCCTCAAGGAACTCACAGTATAATTATTATAATATCATATGTTAAGTGCTGTAGAAAAGGTATGCCCCAAAAGCTCTGAGGTTACAGAGGGGAGCCTCTGCCTAACACGCTCATTGAGAGGAGATATTCAAGGGAGGTCTAGATGCCTGAAGAGGGATTCACAGGTAGGGGATGTAGGCAAAAACAGGCTGAACACAAGCAGTGGTATTAAAAGAACAAATATCTCAGTATTGGGAGTTTGGTATGGCAGAGAAGGATGGAGTGGTATGAGGTATGGGCTAGAAAGAAGAGGTTGGTACCATGTTGTAAAGTGTCTTGGATATTACGCAAAGGAGTTTATATTTCATGGAAGATTTTTATGATGCTGTCTGGAGTGTGGGGAAATGTTTGTGCTATTTTCAACAATGAATTTCAAAATGAACATCCTAACCATAGCATAGAGCAGGACTCAGCAAGCCTTTTCTGTAAGGCCAGATCCAGAATATTTTTGGCATTGCAGGTCATACAGTCTTATTCACAACTTTGCTGTCATAGCATGAAAGCAGCCATAAACAATACAATAAAGCTTTATTTTTGAACTTTGAACTTTTACTTTCATATAATTTTCACATATCATATTACTCTATTAAATTTTTTCAAACATTAAAAAATGTAACATATTTAGAGCTTATGGTGCAGAATGAAGACAATAAGGGGAAAAAGACAATGATGTGAAAAATACCTAGAAGGAAGGAACAGTGGGCTTAGTAACTAATTGGGTATGTGTGATAAAAAGCCATGGATGAATTATCTCTTCCATATTTGCTGTTTCTGTTGGTAAATATTAGGATCATTTCAGGTATTCCCAACAGATCATTTATTCAGTAAAAAAGATTCAGAGTCTACTAAAATGGAAGTCTTTTTCATCACAATTGCTATTTAGACACAGACTACCTTCCATATCTCTATTCTGTCCTCTGACACTAGATTTTTGTTGTTGTTTTTAAGATTTTGGGTTATACCCAAATTCCCAAAAATAGACGACTGGATCAAGAAGATGTGGTACACATACACAATGGAATATTACTCAGCAATCAAAAAAGATAAAGTCATGCAATTTGCAGCAATATGGATGGAGCTGAAGGGATCATGCTCAGCAAAATAAGCCAGAAAGAAAAAGAAAAATAGCGGATGGTCTCACTCATAGCAGGAATCTAGAAAACCTATATAAGAGACCAGGAAAAAAACTTAATTATGATAAAGTAAAAATCAAAATCAACAAGCAACTATAAACAAGAGACACACTGCAGGGGAGGGAGGCGGGAGTAGGATCAAAACAAGGTGGGTGGGAATTGTATGGGCACTATAACCAAGATGAAAGTGCATACATTGTGCAAAAATGAAAAATGATGTAAATATATAAAATAAAAAAGATTTTGGGTTATATTCTATGTCCACTACTAATGCAACTTCTATGTTCAGTTAAAAAGCATAAAAACAGGAAGAGAGGCTAACATCCTTTCCTCCTGTAGTCAAAATTCTGATTCACTAAACCTCAGGATGCTTTAGAATTTCAAAAATAACTAGAGAATTGTGTAGTCTAAAACATGAATAAGCTTTTGAGCTGGGCCATGTTTTTTTTCCCTGATAGCACTGTAGGGATCACTGGTACATGAAATGATAAGTAATCTTTTTGGAAGGGAAAGTTTGATTAACAGTCCTTCCAATTTGGTATCAATTTTAAATATCGAAGGTTAACAAATTAGTATCAAAGTTTTAAAAATTATTTTTATAATTATTAAAAATAATTGTGTAGACCTAGAGAATATTTCAACTAGAAACTATAACATGGTCAGATTGGATAATGAGTACTAATCACCAATCAGGTAGCAACTTCCAGTAATACTTAAGATGGCTTCAGTGGCAGTCTAGGCATTTGTGTGAATTGGAAAGGGGCTCGGGGGAAGGCAGGTCTGATCTGTGTGAGTCAAGGGCAAGTAATACATGAAAACAGACAATCACAGAAAATGGCTTCCTTTGTCTTTAGACTATTTTAGATAAAGATTCCTACCAGTACCTAAGATGGAGTAACACAGACTACACTTATCCTTCCTCCTGAAACAACTCCAGAAACGGACAAATTAAATAAACCAACTTTCAGACATTTGACATCAGACAGGATAGGATAATGGTCTCCAAGAGAGGAAAAGCACATGAGGCAAGCCCCCTGGTTATCCTAGTTTACTGTCTGGAGAGAGTTTTCATTTTACAGATGAGGAAACTAAGGTATAGAGTGGCTGAATAACCTGTCACTAGTCTCTAATGACTCTAGTCACTAGAGTCAGGGTTCAAATGCACAAATCCTCTACTCTGTAGGCCACATGCCCAACCACTACATATACTGCATTCAAGCAGAGAAACACCCAAGCCCACAGTCATTAAACAATCTAGAGACAGAATGGCAAATAACTCAGACTTAAGAACAACTTCAAATGAAGATTACATTTAAAGAGCAGAATGAGATCACCTAGGAAAAAAAAAAAAAACAAAACGTTAAACATGTTGGTAAAGACCCAGCTGACAAAATGTCTCCTACATAGTGCCAAATACACCCATGCAGACTTTACCATGAAGTTAATGTTGTGAAAGCATGACAACATTCCAAGAAATTCAAATGGAGAAACCAAGGACCAAAGCAAAAGCAAAACCACCTCTCAGGAAGTCCTGATCACATTTGGTGTATATAAAGTAGTATCAGTTTTAAACATTTGTTTTCAACATGCCACCCAGAAATATCATTAACATAGCAATTTAATCATCAGATACTTAATTACACAATCAATAATAAAAGTCCTGCAGAATGCTCTCGTCAATCTCTAATGACAGACCCATGCCAAGGACATGAGCAACGGTGCCCCCCAAGGGATTACTTCAGAAGGGAATGATGTTCATTTTGTAAGAGAACAACTTTCAAAATGCAGACCCTGACAGAGCCTTACCCTCGGTGTCTCAAACACTTGTTCCAGGTGTATGATGTGTTCATGTTTCACACATTTCAGGATGCTCACCTCCCGTTCCAGTAACTTCACAGCAGAGCGCCCAGCCTTAAGTAATGATGAAAGAGATATTGCCTATGAATGTTATTATTACATAGCTTAATATAAGTTATTTTACATTTTCTCTACATTTTTCTGAAAAGTTTCTTTTTCAAAAAGATACAAGCAATGATTACTGTAAGATTAAATCACGCACCTACTGTCCTTTGTCCAATTTTAAGTTTATATAATCTGACCTCAAACCACAGCGGTTTCTTGCACTGTTTCTACATATTAGCTACAACATAGTCTCCAGCCCCTCACAAAATTGTTTCAATTTTAATGTTTTTGGTATTTCCTTCAAAATCATGTTGTTTTTTGATGTCAGCATAATGAAAAAAAAAAAAGTCTACTTTCCAGGTCCAGCAATTGGAAAAGACAAAATACTTTTTTTTGTTTTTTGGTTATATTTATATATAGCAAAAGAAGTAAAAGGAAGCCTTACATGTAAAACCTTAACCATACCAGACAGTAAAAAATAAAGGCAGGAACATCCTAGGGAGCACAAAGCTTTAATTAGGGTGTAAATAACTGGTTATAATATCATCTAAGAAATTCTAGGACTTTCTCCATCTACACCACCACTACCCACCTGCCCATTTATCACCCCTATTGAAATTTAAATTACCATCACTACTTAAGGTTAAGCATTGTCCTTTTCCATATATAAATATGCTTGAAGAGATAACAAAGGTCTTATCCTTCTCTCCTTTGCCCCACTTCCCCCAGTATATGGAAAGAGTATATGGAAAGAGATGGATCACAAGGCAGACTTCATCTAGTTCAAATTTTACCTGGGGTCATCCTTGCTTCCAATTATCTTTATCCTTCAGCCATTACCATTTCAACAACCTACCCACTTATTATGTCCCACAACAGGATGAAAGTCACATTTTAATGTGACTAGCATCAAGAGAATCTGGGTCAAGAGAAAAATAGTGACTTTGAGGAGTGAATTCCTCTCAAGACCAGATATGGAAAGATACCACAACTTCTACTATGGGTCTCATTCCTAATCCTACCTCCCTCCCCAGATGGCTTGATCTGTATATAATATAGAATATGCTCTTCATCATATATTAGCCATATAATTTTATTTTACCATCTTAGTGTCCTATAAACAGCATCAATACAATATGTGTGTACATGATTATGAATTCCTAAAGTAGTAAGCAGGTTTCTTGACTATATAACCCTAAAACCTAGCCCCTAACCATACCTGACATCAAAGGGGCAAAGGAAATAAAATCCCATGCAGAACTATGGTTTTAAAATTCTAAAGTTTTCTAGAAAGTCTCTGGATCTCCCTTTATGAAGATTCATATGTTATTTTTATTAAATTTTATGGAGAAATGTTTGTTTCAAAGAGTACATAAAACCTATTTCATTTTGTAAATCTAATATTTATCATCATAAATTCAAGGGAAAAACACCACAATGTGGTAGAAGACTATGGGGCCTTGTTGGGTGTGATGTGGTGATGTGCACCTAAGAATGTATGATCCCATGCCTCTGAATCACACACAGTATGTAAACCAACATTACCTGAATTAAAAAAATAATAATGTTGTCTTTTGTTTTTTTTTTTCCTTAGGCACAACTTTCCCTAAATGCTAATGAATGATTAGGTATAAAGCCTGAGGATTAAGACTCTCCATTAAAAAGAAGTCTAGTCACTCCCCAAGGAAAAATCCAGTGAGGAATGCAGTGGACACAAACAAACAGGATAATAGTGAGGGATAAGTGGTCAAACTGAAAGAGCAGGTGGGAGACATAATGAGAGCATTAACTAGCAACAAAGAAAAAGGGAATCAGAAGATAGGAGAAATGTGTCTTAGACCCGCATGAGGAGAGAGCACCCGGACTTATTTCTACCTGAGATATCACTACCCACAGCCTTACAGCTACACATACTGATACCAAGGCCTTCCCTTCAATTCACTGAGTTGAACTCCACCTATATCGGGGTGTATATTGGTTATGTTAGTTAATCCTTTCATTTGCTTTTTCCATAAATACTTGAGTTCAAGAACTGATCCCTCCCTAGAAGGCTAGAGAAATGACCACACTCCTCCAAGGGAACAGGCCAGGCTTTTGCCCCCAGTGTTAGGGGAAGCTGTGTTACTGTAGAAAACTGCACCACCTACCCAAGCTGCGCTCACAACTTGTCTCAGTGTGATGTGCTAATATGCCTCACCTTCTCTTTGTTCACTTTTTTAATTGCCCACTTAGTTCCTGTTTCCTTGTCTGTAGCTTCAATGACCATTCCAAAGCTCCCTTGTCCCAATATTCTTCCAAAGGTATAGATATCCTGAATAAAAAATAAGAGTTATTTTTCTCTGCCATTCATCAGTATTAAAAATATTGATGGGGGAATCCTAATGTTAACCCAGTTAAAATAATAAATTATTATCAAAAAATAAATAAAACTTAACAACAAAATAAAAACAAAAATAAATGAACACATAATGCTAAAATAGCTACCCAAGGGAAACTTCCATTCCAGGGTAAAGTCATATAGAAGACACTACATATTTACTTTAATGTTAATAAAGCCTTAATTTACAAAAAAAAAAAAAGTTTTGATGAATGTTTATTAAATGTCCTTTGGAGGAGAGCCATAAAAATCCTAATTGGTAATGTGGGAAAGCTCAAAAATATAAAAATTTACAATACAAACTATTAATAAAATATCTTCATAAGAAAAAGGAGAAATGGCATGTCAATACTTGTGTGTGTGTTCAAAGTACATTCAGCCCCCAAATTATCCCAAGTCTCAGGGTTGTACTATAATATCAATACCTATCAACCACTGAACTGCTTTCTTGTTTACCAAAGTTTCCACAACTTAAAATACGGAAAACTTTTTTCTACTATAAAGAAAAAGACAAAATAGGATAAGGCATATGCATAAAATGAAGAAAAGGGAATAAAATGCTAAAATTGGTTATATCTGACTCATGGGTTTTATTTTCTTCACCTTTTTATTTTCCTAATTTTTCACAACATATTTTATTTTTATAAAAACTCTTATGGCTAAATATAAAACTCAGTGAATTTTTTTAATATAGGCCTTGTATTTAAAGGGACAGATTTAAACTTCTCAAGTCAGAATCTCTCAGGTAGTTTTTCTGATCACTTCAAATAAATTCCTAAATAACTCTTGAAACAATTTTTAAAGTTTTTAACATTAATTATTCTTCTTGTAGCTGTTTTTATGATTCCTTTAATCTAATGTTAAAGGAACACATTTCAATTCTAAAACGGTAATATTTAATTTGTATTTGTATGTAATAATTAAATCCCTGAGAAAAATAGTATTTCTATTCATCCAACCACAGGCTAGAAAAAAATGAAGGTGTCCATGAAGGAATTTGGTCTCAAGTAAATGAACAGCCAGACCATCTCAGTTTATCTGTTCTTCTGTCTACTCTTGAAGAGGTCTCCACAAAGACTCCACAATTGCCTGCAGCAACAGGCAAGACCCAGAGACCAAATTGTTCTCATTTTCTCTAATAAAAATGTGCCCACTGCTCCCCTCAGCAGTGTATTTCAGTAGATCTGCCTGTTCTGCTCCCCACTCTCTCTGGTGAAGCCTCTCACCCCCTGTACCTCTGGCTTATACCCTAGTTCTTGTATGCATAAATAAATAAATCTTTTTTAAAAAATGTGCTATATTTTAATTAAAGTACTTTTGGTCCTCTATGAACAGAAAAAAGTAGTCTGCATTTTCTTTAGTGAAGAATCTGACATACTTGAAAATGATAAAATCCTTTTCTTTCCCTTCTTTAGAAACTTATTTTTAAGTCATTTTTGCATGCACCATTAAGTTAAAAAAAAAAAACTGAAAGTTTCTACAAGTTTTGGAATGCTTTCTACATACCCAAATAGCAGCTGCATCGTCCAGCCTTACATGAGGAACTTTTCCATCTGTCACACTGCCCCGACTCCACTGTTGTTGAGGTGCTTTTCTCTCTACAATTGAAATTCTGGAGGGCTTGTACCGAAAAGGAATAAATTTAACTTTTAAAATAACTTTTAATTTATTGGCAAAGTAAAGACCCTAATTTAGACAATCTGACAAATCTTTAATGTGTGCCATATTAGGTCCTGTATCATTCATTAGTCCACTAGGCCAAAAGAAATCTGAAGAAGTCACTCAATCTAATCTCCTGAATCCAGGGATGCTTACAAGATAACTTGAATCCGAGCAAGTTTATGTGATAACCTGCAGATACAGCAGAATATTTCTTTTCCCCAGCATCATCCCTAGTGTCCCTCTGTTCCTTTCCCTCACTGCTCTGAGGTGAGAGAAAAAGCCTTCAGGATATTTACTGATGCCCACGGGTTTGGGAAATTGTTTCATGTTATTGAATTGTCAGCTGTGTAGATGTCCAGGATTTGTTTTACTGTTTTGACTTACTTTGCTGCACATAATTCTCTAAAATTCTTTATTTTGTTGAAAATTGCTGCATTTCATCCTTCCCGATGGTTATATCGTACTCCATGGTATGGTGATACCACACCTCTTAATCGTCCACTGACAGGCATTCAGGATGTACCCATGTGCTAGCTATTGTAAATATGTTGCTATGAACATTATGTAACATCTGTGTTTTTGTGTTGATGCTTTCATAGACTTTGACTAGATGCCCAAGGGTGGGATTGTTGGGTTGGATGGTAATTCATTTAAGGTAAATCCTGACTGCTTTCCCTAACAGTTGCACCAGTTTACATTCCCATCAACACTGTAATGGGGTTCCTTTTTCTCTATATCCTCCCCAGCACTTGAGGGTCATTTTAATATGCCATTCTCATAGATATGAGATGGTCTCTCATTGTAGTTTTAATCAACATCTCTCTTATTGGAAGCAACGGTGAAAAAATTTTAATATCTCCTTTGTCTTTCTTGACTTTAGAGAACTCTATTCATTCTGTTGCCCATTTATTAATTGGGTTGTTTCTTTGTTGTTGAATAGAATGAGCTTTTTAAATATATTTCAGATATTAATTCCTTATCATTTATATGTTGTGTCAATATTTCCTCCCATTAATTAGGGTGTCAATTCATCTTATAATTTCTTTCTCTCTATAGACTTTTTTTTACTTGCAGTAACCTCAATTGCCTATTTTTGTTGTTGATTGCCCTGCCATAGATTTGAATCACCAAATACATATTTACTGTTGATATCATGGAACATTTCACCAATGTTTTCTTCTATGTGTTTTACTGTTGCAGATCTTATATCTAAATCTTTAATCCATTTGGGTTTATTTTATGTATGGGATTAGTGAGTAATCCAACTTCATTCTTTCACGTGCAACTTTCTAATTTACCCAGCACCATTTATAAAGACTGTCTTTTCCCCATTTTATGACAATAGCTGCTTTATCATAGATTAGGTATTAGTATGTATATAGATTTATTTCTGAGCTTTAAAGTTTGTTCCATTGATCCATGTATGTATTTTTGACCCAAAGTCATATTGTTTTTAATACTATTGCTTTGTAGTTAAGTTTGAAATCAGGTAACAAGATATCTCTATTTTCCTCCTTTTTTCTTAAGGTTGCATTTGCAATTTAAGGCCTTTTGTAGTTCCATATAAATTTCAATATTTTTTGTTGTTATTCAAAAAATATTGCTGCAATTTGAGTGGGGATTATATTAAATTTGTATAAAGTTTAGGCAGAATAGTCATTTTAATTACATTGATTCTCACCATCCATAAGCATGGGATATTCTTCATTTCCTTATGTCACTAAGACCTTTAGCACCATCTTATAGTTCCCATTATATAGATCTTTTACTTCCTTAGTGAGGTTGAGTCCAAGGTATGTAATTCTTTTTGAAGTAAATATGTATGGAGTTATATTCTTAACTTCTTTTGCTCCTTGTTCATTGTATATAAAAAAAAAACCTATGGATTTTAGTATGTTGATTTTATAACCTTTTTACTGTATTCATTGTTTCTAATAACTTTAAGATTTTCTACATATTTCATATCATCTGTCAATAGTGATAGTTTCACTTCTCTTTTGACTTGTATTTTCTTTATTTCCTGTGTTTGTCTCATAATTCTGGCCAAAGCCACTAGTACCAGTCAAACATAAGTGTTGAGAACAGACAACCTTGTCCTGTGCCCAATATTAAAGGGAAAGTTTCCAGGTTTTTACCCTTGAGTATGATAGTGGCTGTTCATTTGTGATGTATGCCCTTGATAATGCTGAGGGAGGATCCTTCTATTCCCATCTTGTTTAGTGTTTTTTTTTAAGACTTATTTTATTTTATTTTATTTATTTATACAAACAATGGGTACAGTCAGAAGAGCAGGAGGGTGAGAGAATTCACCAGAGCCAGAGCAGGGAGCAGAGCAGGCAGAAGGACTGAAGTACACTGCTGAGGGGAGCAGCGGGCGGCAGGAGAGGTCTGCGCACCACGTGGGACCCTCCTCGGTGGCCGGGGAGCAGCCGGGGATCCAACCGGCACTGCAGAGGCTGCGGGCAGCTTCGCAACCCAGCGCTCAACCGCTGCGCCACCGGGGAGGCCCTTGTTTAGTGTTTTTATCTTAAATGGGTGCCAAGACCTATTAAATGATTTCTTTGCATCTACATGATTTTTATCTTTATTTTCACTGATATATTATTTACAGACATTAAACCATCCTTGCATCCCTGGGATGAATCCCACTTGATTGTGCTGTATAATCCTTGTGATATACTGTTGAATTCAATTTGCTAATATTTTGTTGAAGGTTTTGCAACAATGTTCATCAGGAGTATTGGTCTATATATATATATATTTTTTTTTTGTGCTATATACGTCTGGTTTTGATATTAAGATAATATTGGCACTGTAAAATGTATTAGGGAGCATTCCTTCATGTATTTTTAAAACCAATTTGAGCAAGGGACCTCCCCAGTAGTACAAGGGTTAAAGTCTAAATGCTATCAAGCTATCGCCAGCCACAGCAGGCATGAGTTTGATCCCCTGCCAGGAAGCTAACCCACATGATGCAGCAGACCTTACCTCCCCACTCTGTCTCTGGTGAATCCTCTCACGACCCCCCCACCACCTCTGGCCTATACCCCAGTTCTTGTATGCATAAATAAATAAATATAAAGCGAAAAAAAAAACAACTTGAGCAAGATGTGCTTGATCTTAGAGGGCTTGATAAAATTCATTTGTAAAGCTACAAGGTCCTGGCCTCTTTTTTTTGAAGATGTTTTGATTACTGCTTTAATTTCCATACTTGTAATAACTTTTTTCAATTCATCTATTTCTACTTGGGTTGGTATTGGTAGACTATATTGTTCTAGAAAGTTGTCCATTTCCTCAAATTTATTGAATTTTTTGAAATACATAGTTGTTCATAGTACTCACTTATAACTTTTTGTATTATTGTGCTATCTGTGGTGATTTTTCATTTGTGATCTATTAATGTTTCTCTCTTCCTTGGCTAGCATAGCTTGAAGTTTATCTATTTTATCTTCTCAAAGAACCAGCTCTTAGTTCCATTGATTTTTTTTTTGTATAGTCTTTTTGATCCCTATTTCATTTACTTGTCCTCTTATTATTCCCCTCCTTCAATTAACTTTGGGTCTTATTCACTTCTCTTTTCAAGTTGCATTAGGTGTAGATTTCTTTATTTGTGATTTTTCTTGCTTCTAATGTGGGCCTGTATTGCATTTATCTCCACCCCCCCTTAGACCACTTTTGCCACAACGCATAGATTCTGGTACTTGTATCATCATTTTCATTAGTCTCAAGGTATTTTTTAATATCTGCTTTGATTTTATTTTTTTATCCAAGTGCTATTAAGCAGCATGCTGTTTAGTATCCATGTGTTCACAGTTTTTCCTGTTTTTATTCCTGATAGTTGCTTTCTAATTGTATGACATTATGGTCAGAAAAAGCTATAGGTATAATTTCTATCTCTGTAGTTTTATTGAAAATTGACACATGTCCCAAGATATAGTCTATTTTTTAAATAGACCATATACTGGGGAGAGGGGGCGGGAAATGTGTATTCAGAGGTATTTGGGTGACATTTTTCTATAGATGTGTGTTAGACATTGTTTCCAGCTCTCCATTTAAAGCAATTCCTTCCTGGACTCCCTGGTGGCGCAGGCGGTTGAGTGCAGCACTGTGAAGCTGTCTGCAGCCTCTGCAGTGCGAGTTTGATCCTGGCCAGCCAGGGAGATTCCCACATGGCTCGGCAGAACTCCCCTGTCTCACCCGCTGCTCCCCTCAGCAGTGAATTTCAGTCAGTCTGCCTGTTCTGTTCCCCTCTCTGTCTCTGGTGAATCCTCTCACCCTCCCGCACATCTGGCCTGTACCCTGGTCCTTGTATAAATAAATAAATCTTTTTAAAAAAAGCAATTTATTCCTTATTTATGCTTGTTTTGTTGATATGTTCATTAAGGTATTAAAGAGCCCTAGTAGTATGTGTTATTACCAATATCTTTCTTTAGTTCCATTATTATTTTATGTATTTTGGTGCTCCATTATTTGGTGTGTATTTATTTGAGTATTATTTCTTCTTGCTGTATAAGACCCTTACTAATAATATATTGTCTGTCTCCATGTTTTACAAAATTTCTTAATTGGAAGTCTATTTTATCAGATATAAGTATAATTATTCCTGTTTTTTTTTTCCTTTTTTTTGGTTGTCATTTTCTGGAACTGTCTTCAAATCTTTAATTTCAAGTATATGCTTGTTTTTGTTGACAAGGTGAGTTTGGTATAAACAGCAGAAGACTAGACTTCACTTTGAAATCCATTCATCTGAATCTGACTTTCCTTAAATTTCCTACTCTCTGTCTTCAAACTTATACTATATCAACTACAATATTCCATACTGCATCTTTTCTATAAAGGCGAATAAACTCGAGCCAGGCCAACTAGGTAGTCCATCATAGATCACAATTAATGCAAGTCTATTTTGTAAAGTATATTTGATATCCCTTCTAGATAACCAGGGATTATCTTAAATAATAAGCACCCTATAATCACAACCATAAGTCCCAGATGAAGAAAATAACACAAAAAATCAGGTCTAATTCATTTTAAAAATCAATTCACTTAAAAAATAAAAAGAAAGGGCCTCCCCTCGTTAAGCACTGCCCGCAGCCTCTGCAGCGCCAGTTCAATCCCCGGCCACTGGCGAGGGTCCCACAAAAAAAAAAAAAAAAAAGGAAGATGCTGGAATAACACTGCACATTATTCATGAATCTGGGAAATAATGAGGGCAGTGGGTGGAAATATCATAAAAAATTGAGAAGTTTTCTCATCTTCATGTAAGAGAGAAATGTTACTTGAAGAGTTAAGAAGGCAATGAATTATCTGACAAGGACTCATGGATATGGATGAAGTTAAGGATAGGATTAGGGAATAGGTTGTCAACTTGTGTTGGGATATAGAACCTTTGATGCTTACCAGGTCTGTTCCAGATGCACTATCTTTGTTGTTTTTCCTCTCTGGTGAAAGCATAAAATCTGCACTAACAATGCTTGATGTTTGTGACATTTCCACTACTGAAGTTGGACAGAGCCTTGTTTTACCGGAACATATACGAAGTACATCTTCCTGAGAATTAGCTGAACAGTCAGCGCATTTTCTGGAACTTTCATCAAAGTCATTATTAGCCATTTGCTCAACTCTGCAACAAAAAAAAAACTTGAAAGAAAAATGTTTCCACTGTTTAAGGAGAGAATCAGATCAAAACAGATAAGGTAAGCTGGTGGTGAAAACTGTAACTTCCAATTGGTGAAGTCCTTAGGTTAATGATGCACTATATTTATAGTCATACATGAGAGCTGCAGAAAGAAAAGAAATCACTATTTAGAAAATTCTATCTTATTCTATCAGCCTGCTAAAAACCAGAGAAAAACTAGCAACTAGTACCAAAGGCACCCTGCCTATACACTAAAAGTTAATACTTACAACAAAATTAGGAGATACATCTAAAAACCATGGGTTCTGACCTTTCAAAACTAAATTCTCAAGTTTCATGTATTTCATTTACTTAACAATCAAAAGAATAATCCTCTGAACCATAAAGTCACTGAAAAGTATGATCTAAGGAATTTAGGGCACAAGTATCGATTTTTTAAAATAAAGTTGGGTGGAATAATGTTAGAGCATTTTGCCTAGATATTTGCTAAGTTCTATAAAACTTTTATTTTCATTATACAGATCTCTATGTATAGAATGTGTGAGTATGCATACATATGTGTGTGTGTACTTGGTCACAGTATAAAATGCATTTCTTAATGTGGATTGTGGTTTTAAAAAAGGCTTTAAAATGCTGTTGTGAAAATGCATTACTGTGGGTAGTATAAAACATAAATTACTTTGGTTTCAAAATTTAAACTTTAATTTACTTATTACTAGAGAAAATTCATATTATACACTTCATAAAATAGCAGGTAATTTGATTTTTATAAAGCTACCTGCTTCTAACATGTTCAAAGGCAGTATTAGAAGTATCCTAATTTTTACATTTAAATAGCAAAAATAAGAACTAACAGGTGCTATTTTCCCCTAACTATAGAATAGGTATTCTACCTAACTGAAGTTAATGGCAGCTGTATGGTTGTAAGCTGGAAAGATCTGAGTTAAGGAAGGAGGAAGGAATGTGTTCTGCAGTACACAGAAGAGAACTGAGAAACTTCCAGAGATAATTGGAAGTATAGTAGTATGGCTTTGCGCCATGCTATTCTGGATATCATTTAAAAGTGTGTTTTTCTAGTCACAAATGGATATGGCTGGGGATATAGGGATTATACCTTAGTCCTTTTAACAGAAATTAACTTGACTAGAATTGGAAGTTCACAATCTTTAAGAAATATTTATCTAGTTTTATTTGTCTAAGACTGGTTTTCTGATCAGAAATGAGTGCTTTTTAAAATCTTATCTATTGTAGTTATCACATCTTTCCTTATTGGATCTTTTGATATGCCATATTAAAATTTTTCCCAATATTAAAGCATTCTTGTATTTATAATATGAACCCTATATGACTATGATAGATGATTTCTTTAATGTGCTAAAAATTTGACACACTTGTTGATTTTTACAGTTATATTCATAAATTAAACTGGTCTATAATTCTTCTTTTCTGCTATCTTTGTCAAGTTTTTGATACAAGATTCTGGCTAGTTTAATAAAGTAAATTGGGTATCTTTCCATTTCTCAATGCTTTGTAGCAATCCTCATAGTATGAGAAGCTATAGGAAAATCTCCTAGAACCTTAACATTTAAGGAAGATATTGCTAGTAATTTATCCAATATTTATTCCCCTATTCTTCCTTACTAGCAGAATTCTGATCTTGTGTGGGGCAGCAATGTGTTCATTAAAATCCCCCATTTTGATTCCACAACCTACTAAAGATAGAGCTTCCATATGATCCAGCAATTCCACTCCTAGGTATTTACCCAAAGGACACAGAAACATTAATTCCAAAGAGCACCTGTACCCCTATGCTTATAGCAGCACTGTTTACAATAGCTAAGCTTTGGAAACAACCCAATGCCCGAAAACAGATGACTGGATCTAGAAGATGTGGTACATATACACAATGGAATATTATTCAGCATTCAAAAAAGATAAACACATGCAATTTGCAGCAACATGGATAGAGCTGAAAGGGATCATGGTCAGCAAAATAAGCCAGAAAGAAATAGAAAAATACCGGATGGTCTCACTCATAGCAGGAATCTAGAAAACCTAAATAAGGGACCAGGAAAAAGAATAACTATACGAAAGAAAAAATCAAAATCAACAAACAACTATGAACCGGGGAAGGGGGGGGAGTGGGGAAAGAAGGGATTGGGGTCAAAATAAGGGGGTTGCAATTGTATGGGGAATATAAAAATATAAATAAATAAAATAAAATCCTCCATTCCCCAGCTTTTCCTATAGCATATGGCCATGTCACTCACAGAATGCAAGAAAAGCTGTACTTAAAAGAAAACTTACATTCTTAAACCTTCATCATATATAGATTTTGAATCATAAAACTTAACGTAAATCATCTATAATGTTATAAACCAATGTTTCCTCAATAAAATTTATTTTAAAATAGCAGAAAATGAATAAAAATATACTACACGAGCTGTCAGAACAAAAAGACAGAAAAACATGATAAAGAAACAAAATTTAAGATAAAAATAACAAAGAAATGGAAGTTTTGTTGAATTTTCCCTTAAGGTTTCAAATAAACTGTCCTCCTCTACATCTTAGATTTCATCTTACCTTACTCCCATGCTCTAGACACACCTGCCTAGTTGCTGCTTCTCTAATATGTCAAGCATATTCCCTTTCTCATGGCTTTGCCCATCTGCTTCCTGTGTCTAGGACAGACATTTGGTGGTTTCTGCTCTTTCACTCCTTGGTGGTTTCTGCTCCTTTGAGAGACCTTTTCTAATAACATCATGTGAAACAGCAGGCACAGTCATTCTGTCCCTCGCCTTGTTTTATCTGTATTCATAGCACTTAATTTACTCAGAAAGTTCTACAGCAGAGTTCTTTCCTACTTTTAGGGAACAGGCTTTTTCACATAAACTGTTTCAGAGCAATGAAAAGCCATTTAGTTTATTGTACTCCATTAGAATAGCCAAACAGTGTTCTCAAAAGGAAGTTCCACAAGCCAATCTCATTTGTGAATATATGCAAAATATCCTAAATGTTGTACTTGCATTTGCTTCGGATAATGTGTACAGCATATTCTAAGATTATTAGATTGAAATAATACACAAATCAGTCCAATAACTATGACCTTTCATTAAAGTGGTAGGAAAAGAATTACCCCGCTGTGATTAACATCCATAATAGTGAGCATTGGAAAAGGAATATAGAAAGTACCCTCCAGATAGGCAGAAGAAAAAGAGATTTCAACTGATGCAGCTAAACATCACACACACATACTCTCATACCCAAGTTTGACCTTGTATTCACAGCATATGTAGCAAGACAAAAAAAATTCAGAATGTACCTGCATATACTTTGTAAAATGATTTCACTTCAGCCCTTGAAAGAAAAATGCTTTGCATTTCAGGTTAAATATAAAACCTGTAACCATCAATGACTCAGAGCACTGGAGTAGATCTTCAAATAATAGCTTTTTGTTTAGTAAAAACAATGCTTTCTCTCTGCAGGTATAGAAAAGTCTCGTGTCAGATGTGTAAGACATTTTATGCATGCATTAAGAATGTAGATTTTATATTACTTTTTATAAGAAACCAAAAGAAGTGGTCATAACATAAAGGTTTATATAAACTGCAGCCAAGTTCCTTTGTCATAAACATACTTCTAAAAGCATACTTATCACATTCTCCAACCTTTACTACATATACATAGATCCACAAATTTTCAACAGAATCTTTAAATATTAAATTTCCTATTTTTAAGATGGATATTTTGATGGATCTAAAAACAGTTCTTTTTCTTAGCTCTGTTCAGAAAGCATTTCCTTTAATTTTTGTATCAATTTCTCAGGAAATCATGTTATCATAAAATCACTGACACTGACATACACTTCTCGGTATTTTCTTGCTCCAGATTCTGATTTATCAGTCGCCCTGGAATTATTTGGGAGCTATATTCAGAAAGCATAGGAGTTCCTATTACTCACCGAGGAGTTTCATTTCTGCTCTCCAATCTACCAACCACTACATTTGCCAAAGTAATGTTCCACTTTCTTACCAAAGCAATTCTAAAACAGTAAGTCGAATAGCTGCATGCAAAAATTTCTTGATAAGAATTAGATTTCAAATTTAATTTCTTTTTGGCTGGCTGAATTCTAATTATTTTAGCTTAAAAAGCAAAATAGAACAAACGTTTACTCACAATTCTTTCTCCTTTATGAATTGATCTGAAAGATCTCTTACTAAAATAAATCTACCATCTAGCAGGCTAAGTGATATCATTCATATTTTAGAGGCATGAAGTTAATCAAGTATTGCAAACCTAACCTATCTTTACAAAAACACAAAAATGTACTTCTTCATCTATAGTATCATGGTATTATGTTTAAACAGGACTTTACATATTTAAAAAAATGTATTAGAAAACCAAAAATCAAACAAGCTCCTGCATATCGCCATAGTATCTCTTTGTGCCTCTGAAGACTGGCTTTACATAAGTATTTGATATAATGTAAATAAGTTCAAATCATATCAGCATTTAACTAATGTGTGAGCTTTTCTTTGGATAAGGGTTTTTTGTTATACTTTTAGAACTAAGACATGTCAATGAAACAACTCTGAAAAAACTCTGATACAGAAAATATCTGAGCTTTATTTAAGCATAAAAAGGTCTCTTACATATTGGCCCTACCAGATGTACTTACAGCAATTTCCTCAAGAAAATGAACACAAGAATGGTTTTATGAGATATAACCAGCTACAATTTGCTTCCCCAAAAGTAATTTTTCAGTTTTCTTTGCCAAGACTGTGTCTATATGGAATCTAAACAGTCAATTCAGTCAAAAATGTGTTCTATTCAAGTGAAGAAAAAATCTTATGGGTTGTCAGACATTAATGCAGACCAAGCTGGATGACTGGATACTCACTTTCAACTTGTGTTCATAACATGCTTACAGAACCTAAAGAAGGGCCAAATGAGCTCTCTAAATCATAGTGGTGTATTTTACCGGAGCACAGCACTTGTTTACTATTCCCATTAAGGGCATGATTAGGTAAATATGTCTGTGTTATGTTACCAGAGGACTTAGAGCATCTTTAAAAATTTACATTGTTTCAGAGATCTGAACAAATGTTTAATGGCTAATGTGCTATTATTCCTTTTTTTCTATTTTAATTTGCATACTATTACTTACCGATTAAATCATAATCTGGAGAAATAGTCTTAAATGTGGTCCCCCTGCTGACAGTTTAAAGGTAAGAAGAGATTTTACTCAGAAAATTTTTCTTAATGAGACTGTAAAAAACCAAGAGACCATCTCCCTGCTTCTTTCCTGTTATTAGGAAAGAAGCAACCTGAAGTCAGTAATTTCAATGCCAGCACAGGTTCATCCTTGTACACAATAGACACTCAATGAAAATTTCTGAGTGTTGATTTTGAGGGAAAGAGCCTGGAATCACAAATCACTGAGGCAGAAACATAGGCAGATAAAGAGGAAAATTCATCAAAGAAAAAATGGGGTTCTATGAAGGAGGAATATCACAAAGGTAATGTGAGGGCTCTCTTCATCAATATGAAAAGAATTAGGCATAAGGAGTTAGATTTCTGTGATTCAAAGACAGAGTACATACCAATTTCAATCTATTATATAGGACTTCCTAACATTTAGAATTATCAAAGGTAAAAGGAAAGAAGACAATCTTAGATATTATAAGTATTCAAGTAGAAGTTGGAAGGTCAGTTGGAAGAAAATCATAGAAGGAACTTAAGCATAGACTAGAAAGTCTTGAGGTTCCTTTTATTTTTTTTTAAATAATAAATTTTATTTTTATATTCTCCCATACAATTGCAAACGCCCCATACTGACCCCAATCCTTCCCCTCCCGCCCCCCACCCCCCAAAAAGTGTCTCTGGTTCATAGTTTTTTGTTGATTTTGATTTTCACTTTCTTATATTCATTTTCCTGGTCCCTTATTTAAGTTTTCTAGATTCCTGCTATGAGTGAGACCATCCGGTATTTTTCTTTTTCTTTTTGGCTTATTTCGCTGAGCATGATCCCTTCCAGCGCCATCCATGTTGCTGCAAATTGCATGTGTTTATCTTTTTTGAATGCTGAGTAATATTCCATGGTATATATGTACCACATCTTCTTGATCCAGTCATCTATTTTTGGGCATTTGGGTTGTTTCCAAAGCTTAGCTATTGTAAACAGTGCTGCTATAAACATAGGGGTGCAGGTGCTCTTTGGAATTGATGTTTCTGTGTCCTTTGGGTAAATACCTAGGAGTGGAATTGCTGGATCATATGGAAGCTCTATGTTTAGTAGGTCCAGAAATCTCCACACAGCTCTCCATAGTGGTTGGACCAGTTTGCACTCCCACCAACAGTGCAGAAGAGTTCCTTTTTCTCCACACCCTCGCCAACATTTGTTGTTGCTAGTTTTTTTAATATGTGCCATTCTCACTGGTGTGAGATGGTATCTCATGGTAGTTTTGATTTGCATTTCCCTGATTACAAGTGATGTTGAACATTTTTTCATATGTCTGTTGGCCATTTGCATTTCCTCTTCAGAGAAGTTTCTTTTTAGCTCTTCTGCCCATTTTTTGACTGGATTATTTTCTTTGTTGTTGCTGAGTCTCATCAGCTCTTTGCAGATTTTTGTGATCAGTCCTTTATCATTAGTGTTGGGTGCAAAAATGTTCTCCCAGTTGGTGGGGTTTCTCTTTGTTTTTGTTATTGTCTCTTTTGCTGTGCAGAAGCTCTTTAATTTGATGTAGTCCCAGCTGTTTATCTTTGTCTTCACTATCACTGCTTTGGGTGATGTGTCTGTAAAGATGTCTTTGATGTGCAAATCCCGTAGTGTTTCGCCTATATTTCCTTCTATGTATTTTATGGTTTCAGGTCTTATGTCTAGTTCTTTAATGCATTTTGAGTTGATTTTTGTGTATGGTGTGAGGTAGTGGTCAAGCTTCATTCTTTTGCATGTAGCGACCCAGTTTTCCCAGCACCATTTATTGAACAAACTTTCTTTGCTCCAATGCATAGTCTTTGCTCCTTTGTCAAAGATTAGTTGACCATAAATCTGTGGGTTTATTTCTGCATTTTCTATTCGATTCCATTGGTCTGTATGTCTGTTCTTGTGCCAATACCATGCAGTTTTGATGATTATGGCTTTGTAGTATAGTTTGAAGTCTGGGAGTGTGATGCCTCCATTTCCTTCTTTTTTTTTCAGTAGAGCTTTGGCTATTTGGGGTTTTTGGTGATTCCATATGAATTTCATCAATAATTGTTCTATTTCTTTGAAGAATGCCATTGAGATTTTGATTGGAATAGCATTGAATCTGTATATTGCTTTTGGAAGGATGGCCATTTTAATAATGTTTATTCTTCCAATCCATGAGCAGGGGATGTCTTTCCATTTCTTTGTGTCTTCTTCTATTTCTTTTAACAGTGTTTTATAGTTTTCTTTGTATAGGTCCTTTACCTCTTTTGTTAGATTTATTCCCAAATATTTGATTTTTTTTTGTTTCAATAATAAAAGGAATGGTTTTTTTTATTTCTTCTTCTTCAGATTTATTGTCTGTGTATAGGAAGGCTACTGACTTTTGCGTGTTGATTTTGTATCCTGCCACTTTACTGAATTGATTGATGAGTTGAATTAGTTTTTCTGTGGAGATTTTGGGGTTCTCTATGTATATTATCATATCATCTGCAAATAGTGATAGTTTGACTTCTTCTTTTCCTATTTGGATTCCTTGGATGTCTTTCTCTTGTCTTATTGCTCTGGCTAGGACTTCCAGTATTATATTGAAAAGCAGTGGTGAGAGTGGACATCCTTGTCTTGTTCCAGATCTTAATGGAATTGCTTTCAGCTTTTCACCATTGAGAATGATACTGGCTGTTGGCTTGTCATAGATGGCCTTTATGATGTTGAGGTATGTTCCTTGTATCCCAAGAATTTCAAGGGCTTTTATCATGAATGGGTGTTGCACTTTGTCGAAAGCTTTCTCAGCATCTATTGATATTATCATATGGTTTTTATATTTCTTTTTGTTGATGTGTTGGATAACGTTGATTGATTTTCGGATGTTAAAACCATCCTTGTGCCCCTGGAATGAATCCAACTTGGTCGTGGTGAATTATCTTATGGATACATTGTTGGATTCTGATAGCTAAAATTTTATTGAGGATTTTTGCATCAGTGTTCATTAGGGAGATTGGCCTATAGTTTTCCTTTTTGTGTTGTCCTTATTCGGTTTTGGTATTAGTGTAATATTGGCTTCATAGAACGTGTTTGGTATTGTCCCTTCCTTCTCAATTTTTTGGAAGAGTTTGTGAAGGATAGGCACTAATTCGTCTCTGAATGTTTGGTAGAATTCATTTGTAAATCCATCAGGTTCTGGGCTTTTGTTTTTGGGGAGGTTTTTGATTACCATTTCAATTTCGCTGCTTGTAATTGGTCTGTTTAGGTGTTCTATTTCTTCTTTATCTAGCTTTGGGTGATTGT